ATTACATTATATCAATTATAATATGTTATATAATATATTATTTATTATATAGTCATTGTTTCGAATGACTACTGTACAAAATATTGACATAAGGAAGCACTATTCAGCATCGCTTACGGCAACATTCTCCAGTGGTATCATTTAAAAGGTTGCAAATTATTACAATTAGGCCTTGTGAAAGCAAATCTTTCCCTATCTTTTTCATGCAAAGGGATAGTGAAAAGCAATCTTTTAAATCAATTACTATAATAGGCTATGCCTTAGGTAACAATGAAGGCAATGAGATTCCAGGCTGTAAAGAAACCATTGGCTGAATGATTTTGTCAATTGCTCCCAGATCTGTCAACATCTTCCATGTGACAGATTTCTTCTTAATGACAAATACAGGAGAATCCCAAGGGCTGGTGTACTCTTCAATACGTTGAGGCTCCAGCTGCTCTTGGACCAGCTGCTCTGGCGCCTGCAATTTTTCCTTTGCTGTTGTTCTACCCAAACACGTTTGTCAGTTAACCACTTTTAGTGGTGCAGCAGCTGGTCCTCTATCTGCACTGGCTCCCCACATAAAGTTGAAGAGTCAGTCTCTGCTGTGCTTTGCTTCTGGACAGCCTGCACAGTCTGTAACTATCTTTGATAACATTTTTTAACTTCTTTATCAGGAGCATCTCCTATTTTATGACTTGTCCCTGAAGTTGGAAGGATGCCAATCCATGCTTTCCATTGTTGCAACAGATCTCTTTTTTATAAATTCATGACCAAATATCGGCTATATATGGCCTTAATTTTCCTATTTGACCTTCTGGTCCTATACATTCAAGCCACTTTATCTGTTTATCTGGGATAAACTACCAACCCCTTGAAATTTAATATCTACCTCCTAAAGAGGCCAATCTGGAGGCCAAGATTTTGGTGATATTATTGTTACATCTGCTCCAGTGTCTACCATTCCTTCAATTTCAATATTATTCATAAATACTTTTAATTTGGCATCTGATCATCTGTAGAAGTTTACTAAAACACTTGTTTCTTGGTGTTTTCTGGATTTTCTTGCTTTATCTACTAAAGTTGCACAGACCATGGTGTTGCAAAATATTTGACCCCATTGTGAACCCCTAGATCATGAACAGTAAAAACCTGTTTCTTGTCTTGTGTTGCTCAGCCGTAACACACACCTCTTGGATTCCAAGAGCTAAATAAAGTCAACCCTAGGTCAAGAGGCAGAGTAAGAAACCATCTGACAGGGATCAAACAGAAAGGAGGAACATTAAGAGAAGGGTATTTAAGACAGCATAGAGAAGGAGCTTTTGGTTTGTTTGTTTTTTTGTTTTTTGTTTTTTGTTTTTTTATCTTGAACATGAACTGAGTAAGAAAGGCTTTTTCCTTAGAGACATGTGCTGAGTAGGAAAGTCATCTGGGTGCTTTCTCTGCCTCTCTGAGCTAGTAGGTTTTCACCCCAGCATATGGCTCCTGAGTCTTGATTGGTAAAATTGAACTTTGGGGATTATGTGTTTAAAAACACCTTGATATCTGGGATTTTAATGTCTATATTCAGAGCAGTGTTGTTTAATTGTTCTGGAGGTGAGTAGCCCCTCTGCAGCTCTGAAACGACTGGTTTGAATTTGGCATTGGGACTGCAACAGCCACTCCACTTGGCTTTTTTGACAAGGGGTTGCCCCATTTGTCTCATGTTGATCTACATTAGTCCAACACCAGCCTTTGCCATATTTTCTGTATATTCCGGAAGGTATAGGCCTTCTTTCAGAATTCGTTTGGTTCTTTCTACAGTTCTTTTTCAAGTGATCTTGCTCACCACAATCAAGACTTTTGAGAGTTTGGATTTTCTCAAAACTTTTAGATCACTTCTCCTATTAAAGTCATATAATATGAATGAGATCTAATGTCAAGTGTATTTCTAATCCATTCATCCATTGGTGTTGATCTTGCCTTTAGAAGCCTGGTCACTTTCTGCATTTGGCATTAGTGTTGTTAAAAGCTAAAGATCTGATTAGTACTTTCTTAGCTTGTGGATCTGATATCCTTCTGTCTTTAGCTTTAATAAATCTTTGTGAAAAGTCAGTGCATGATTCTTAAGGACCTTGCAGAATGTGAGTAAATGGCTCAAGGTTTCTTCAACCTTGTCCCAAGCGCTAAAAGCTGCCATGCAGCATAATGCCAAGGTTGTTTCATCATATACCACCTGCCTCTGTGCCTCAGCATACGGACCTTCACCAAGCAACCGATCTTGGGAAATACTGATACCTCTGGCTCTATTTGTCTGCGCTATCTCCTTAGCCTCTTCTCTCTGCCATTAACACCATTGTAATTATGGACCAAGTTCTCATATTGCTTTTGTCATATCCTTCCAGTCCTGGGGGATCATTCTATTTTGAATTGCCCAAGAACTTAATATTTGTTTCATAAATGGTGAATGTATTCCATACAGGAAGACATTTTCTTTAAATTTTCTCAAACCCAGCACGTCTACAGGGTGCCACCCATATTCTTGAGGGTGGCCACCATCTGTTGGCACTTGTCAGATACTAACCATATAAGCTAAGGTTGGTTTTCTAACAATCTTTGGCTGGCTTTCCTGATTTCCATTATATGGTGGCGCAATAGGCTCTGGCCTATTTCCTCTGTCTCTATCTTAGTATCTTTTTTGTTTTTATAATTTTTCTAATTTTTCTTCTAAGACTTGTCTTCGTTTTTCACATTCCTTTTTTCCTTGTATCTCTATTATCTTAGCACTTTTTTTCATTACTATTTTTAATTTTTTTTAATTTTTCTTTTAAGGCTAGTCTTCATTTTTCACATTTCTCCTTTTATTGTCTCTCTAAAGCCCTTTTGAGAAAAGCCATGCTTTCATAGGCCAGGATGGGGTGGGGGTTGAGGGAGTAGGGGGGGTTGGGGTTGGCATAAAAAGCCATTGTGGCTATCAAGATTAGAATAAGTATGACCAGCATGGGAATAATCATAATCGGCATGGTGTCAGTTTCAGTTAAGTCATTTCTCTCTTCCTCTATTGTCTCTATTTTTAAGCCATCTAAAATGTAAATCTGTGGAGTCCAAATCCTTATATGTCTTATTCCTTTTAATTCATCAAGTTTAAGGTCAAGTTTAAGCTTTCCCTCTCCTGCTTCTTGAACTGTCACAAAGATGGAAAAATACAAGCCAGGAAAGCTTGTTACTAGATATATATGTCACCACGATGAAAGACAGCCTTCTCTGGCCTATATGGGCACCAGGCAGGCATGTATTGCAGTCATGCATGCAAGCAAAACACTCAGTTACATAAAAATCTTATTTTTATGTGTGGGTGCCTACATGTATGTGCGCCATGTGCATGCTGCACCTAGAGGCCAGAAAAGGGCATCAGGTCTCTTAAAATTGGACTTATGGGCATGGGTGCTAGAAAATGAACCTGAGTCCCCTCTCTGCAAGAGCAGGTGCTCTTAACCACTGAGCCACATTACCAGCCATTTTTCACTCTGAACTAAGTAAGATTCAGAGCTTTCTACCGCTCTGCATCTCAGAGCTGCAACTTTTTTAGGTGTTGTATTGGCTAGTTTTATGTCAACTTGACACATGACCAGGAAGGAGCCTGGATTGAGAAAATGACTCCTCCATAAAATCAGAATATAAGCAAGCCTGTTGGGCATCTTCTTAGGGATTAATGGGGAGGTAACAATCCCTGGGCTGGTGGTCCGGGCTCTATGAAAAAGCAACCTGAGCAAGCCATAAAGAGCAAGCCACTAAGCAGCATTCTTCCATGGCCTCTGTATCGGTTCTTGCCTCCAGGTTCCTGCCCTGCTTAAGTTCCTGTCTTGACATCCTTTGATGAAGAACTGTGATGTGGAAGCTAATCCAAATAAACCCTTTCCTCCCCAAGTTGCTTTGGTCATGGTGTTTCAACATATAGCAATAGAAACCCTAAGACAGGTGTTTTTCTTGCATGTATGTCTTTACCCTACATGAACGCAGTACTCACACAGGTCAGCAGTGGATGTTCAATCCCCTGGTCCTGGAGCTACAGTGGGTTGGGAGCCATGTAGGTGCTGGGAACTGAACTTTGGTCCTTTGGAAGAGCAGCAAGTGCTCTTAACCACTGAGCCATCTTTCTAGCCCCAACTTCACAAAGTTCTGTGCTCTCAAGCTTCACAGTGAGTGGTGGCACCTGCCCCAGTGTGACAGAGCAGCATCCTGGTACTCAGGGTGAAGTATGGGCAGAGCCACTTCTCACAGAAAGCTATGGCAGAACAAGTGACACCACTGACGGGGGCTCTGTGAGATTGCTTGGTAAGTGTCCCCAGGTTTTCAAGATTAAATTACAAAAAATGCTGTGCCTTCCATCTTATTCTTTCTTGCTCTAAGGTAAGGCCAACATGGCAAGGAACAGAGAACCAGAGAACTGAAGCTTCAATCCAACAACCCGTAAGTCCTGCCAAAGGTGACCCTAGAGTTTGTGGGGAGCTGACCAAGCCTGGAGAACAATCTGCACTGCCAATGTTCACCTGTCTTGTCCGCAGCGGTGTTCTGAAGAAAGAGGAGCTTGCTCTGCATTCAACACTGGACATTTTAAACTCAGCCTGGTTTGGCTTTGTATAGCCATTGCTGTCCTAAAACTCACTATATAGATCAAGCTGAGCTTGTAGTCTCAGAGATCCACCTACCTCTGACTCCCCTGAGATTAAGGCATATGCCACCATCTAATTGGTTTTACTAGTTATCTTTGAACAGGACTTTCAATAGAACTAATTTTTCCTAATTTATTATTTTTTTACATTAAAAAAAAAAAAAAGCCAAATAGCTTGGATGCTATTTGGAAAGATAATACAGGAAGATCAAAGCCATCCTGGTCAATTTAGTGAGACTGTCTCAAAATTACCAAGGGCTATGATGTGGCTTAATGGCAAACTTCTGCCTGTGTGCAAGTCCTCACACATCAGTATCCACCATCACAAGAGAGCTAATAACTTTCTAACTAGTGAAAAATAAATAAAAAATCGGACAGAAATTGTTTCTTTTTAATTGAGTACTTCATTCAGACATTCCTCGTTGGCGTCTGCTCTGGAAGCAGCTAGGTCCCCACCTCAATATCAGATCTGAGTGAACATGGGCCCCAAACCAGGGCTTTCGGAACAACAAAACAATAAACAGAAAACTCAGCCTCTCCTTTCTCTTGGGAGAGACTTCGAGTCACAGGGTTCAACTCCTGGACATGGACTGCAAACATAGACACTTGGCTGTCAGGAGCAAGGCAGCAGCTGTATGCACTCCAGCTCCAGGACCTGACCACCAGCCTCTTCCTGCAGGAATACACCCACTCTTGAAGGAGTTTTGGCATGTACTTACTTAATTTCCCAAAGAGGTGTGAAGTCTACCAAAAGGGATACAATGGATCAGAATAAATCAGCTTTCTCACAATAAACTTTCCTGAGTAATAACTTTTGATTGCTGAGAAAGTCTCAGCACATTATTTCAAAGTGGCAAAATCCAGGGCAATCACAGAGTTCATCCAGCAGTGGCCTAATGTTCAAGGACAGGTTTATGCAGGACACAGGTGCACACAGCCCCTTTTCTTCAGTGTATATGGCAAGTAGCCAGAAACCCTGATCATTAAAATAAGTTATTTTGTATATTACAGTGCACAAAGGGAGAGAACTTTCACAGAGGTGACCAAAAGGCATTGTGCAGAAAGTCCCATGGAGTGGCAGCCAGGGCCCACTGGCCTTCAGGAACTTGACCCCTGCTCTTTGGCTGCAGAGGCCTTAGAGTCGGTTGTTTCCTCTTCCTGCTCCGTTGGCTTTGCCTCCTCTTCCTCTTCATCTTGCGGATAGAGATCAGGGTATTTCTGCATGCACTCCTGCATGGCCCGGAACTGGTCTATACAGTCTGACCCCTTGATCTCCTCTGTGCTGTGGTGGAAGCAGGAAAAGGCAGACTTGAACTGCTCCCCACAGGGGCCGCTGGCCATTCCCCCAAGACATGGGCAATTCCAATTAATGTCTCCATTGGGCAGAATCAATCCTGGAACAGGAAGATAGACAAGGGAAAGATGAGAGGCATTCTATGCTCTCTATACGTAAAGCCTGTTTGGTCCTTATTGTTGGAAAGCATCCCCTGTGACCTCTATGGGCATTCTGGTCTACTTTCTAAGCTGCCTCCAAGAACTGGGATCAGAACTCTGAGGCTTAAATACCAGGAATCTCCTTAATCCCTCCCCAACCCTCTCACCATACTTCTGCTAGCACAGCCTAGAGACTGGTGTAAACATATGGATGTGAAAAGATCCTAAAACCTGTTATACAAAGCAAAGCAAGTGCTATTAGGCTAGTGTGGCTGTGTTCTTCCTATAAAACTCAAACATTAGGGCTGGGGTACAGTACAAAGGCAGAATAGAGCCTGGCACTCATGAGACCCTGGATTCAGTCCCCAAAAGGGTTCAAAATGACAACTCCACTTTAAGCTTTGTGATAGATACAGATGGCAGTTCTCTGGCTAATGAAGCAGAGAATGCTGACAGTTGAGTACAAGCTACCAGTAATGAGGAGCCTCAGCACTACTTTAAAAAAGAAAGGTAGGGAGGGAGGGAGGGAAGGAGGGAAGAAGGAAGTCAGTTTATACAAAGCTACGTTGAAATGCCTCATGATCCTTTACTCCAGTGGAATGTCAGGGAGTGGCTAGTGTCTAAAGTCCTAGGCTTAATCCCGCCTCTCAACTCTAGCTTCACTGATCAGCAAATCTGTCCCAACTGTACCTCATTTACAAAGGGGACAGCAGATGGCTCATCACCAACACCACAGTTGCAGAGTAAGTTCCCATATACAAAGCTGTGTGGCAACTGGAACAGTCCTTCTGACATTGTCTGCAGGTTTCTTGGCTTCAGAGGCCAAGTCAGGACAGTAGCAGGGCCCACTAGATCCCCAGAGCTGTGACCTCTACCTGCTACTTACAGCCTCTCAAGGACTCTCAATGCTGAATAAAATGCTAGCACTGTAGCTTCCAACATGCTAACCCACAGAAGAGCTTTCAACAGAAATAAAATTAGCATTTCAAAACTATAGTCCAGGTGCTAGTTATGGTAGCACACACCTGTGACCACAGCCTGAGCTATTATTTTGAGACAGGATCCTGGCTGATTTGGAACCTGCTTTGTAGACCAGACTGGCTGGCCTTGAACTCACAATTGCTCCCGCAGAGGACCCAGGTTCCAATTCTAGTACCCATATGGCGGCTCACAACCACCTGTAACTCCAGGGGATCTAACACCCTTTTCTGTCCTTGGTGGGCACTTCATGCACATGCAAGCAAAACATCCACACACATAAAATAATAAATAATTAAGGAAAAAAAAAAAAAGACACATGAGGTCTGTAGAAGTCCTTGTTTCATTTCTTCTCAGAGCCTGGCAGAAGACAGGGTAAATTTGGACATAAAACACACATCCACAAGATGGCAGCTTTAGCAGTTATAGGACAGAAACAGACATAGCCTGTCTGCTCATACCTCTAAAACTCTGTGACATATGTGCAGTTAAAGTGGACTCAAGGTAAACAAAGGACCAGAACTGACATGAGTTCATTCTTCTTAAGAAAGGCTGACCGGAGATCTGCTACAGCTGTCACTCTCAGAATACTAAAACTCTGTGACATATGACTTCCATATTCCCAGCATGGTGCTAGGCATTCACTGTGCTTGGCACAAGGCTAACAGGTGAAGGATCCCATGTAGGAATATGCATCTGCTTTACATCAGGTCTGACAAGTTCTAACCACAAGCCAGTCCTCCAGGGCTGCCTGCTCCATGTTCCTCATCAATCACCAGTTTTCAACCTGAAGCACTTGTTCCAGTGCTAAATTGAGTCTTGTTGACCCTACTCGGCCTGGGAATGCTGCATACACCTAGCCCACACAGACTGGAGTATGGATGAGCCCAGCCCAAAACCTACAGAGTGACATTGTGTGTCCAAGGGGCTACTGTTATATTCGGAGACCCCAGAAACAGGTGACAGTTCTGAGTACCTCTGCTCCTGGGCAACTGGGTAACTGTTAAGACCCCTCACCACACCATGTGCTCCTAAGAGCAGGACCAGCTGCCTGGCTGCTGCTCTCTTGCCTGCAAATTCAGCTGGTACACACAGCAGGGTTCACCCTAATAACCTGACACGAGCAGAGATCCCTGTCAGTCCTAACTTCAGGAATCCAGACAGTCTCCCAGTCACTCCTAATCATGTCAGTACAAACACATGAAAAGACAATGTTTCAGTAAGAAGAAACTGTTGCCTGCTAGCTTGGCACAGTCACAACCCTTAGGAGGCAGACACAGTGACCACAGAGCTGGACAGCTGTCCATGACCAAGGGAGACAAAGTGGGAAGCAGTGCTCAATACTAAGCCTCCCCTAGGGTGTGACTATGTGTCCCTCATCTCTCACCGTGCTCCTCATAGGGATCGTTGGGGTCATCAGCCACCAGTTCTGCACTGCTGGGAGTTTCATGGTCTTCTTTGGTCACAAATATGATCCGATCCTTCCCTAGGGTTTGGAGCAGAGGAAGACATTTACTGGAGGGAAGTGAAAGACAAAGCAGCCCATCTGAAGATGGTTCCCTGTGTCTGTCCCCATCACTAACAGACAAACAGCCCAGCAGCCACTGATGAGAGCCAGCTGGAATGAGGACTCCACTCAGGTAGTAGGTGAGGAAGAAGGAATACCATCCAGCTCTTCAAACCTACAGGAAACAAAATCCACACCCAGCTGTCTAAGTTTGCTCCACCCCACATCTTGCTAACAACCCTTGAGTTTGACAAAGTACTTTCTCTTCCCACAAACAAAATATTGGTACTCCCCTCTCCTAAAAGAGAATGAAGACACTTCTCTCAGCCTGGGAAGGGCACCATTCATCCTCCCTGCTTCTGCCCTCTCTTGCAAATTGAAGGAAGGGTCAGAGGAAAAGCACAAGGTGGAGAGGAAGGGAGAGGGAGGAAAGAGAAGGGAAAGGGGAACAGAGAGAGAGGAGGCAGACAGAAACACAGACAGGTAGAAAGACAGAAAAAGACAGATCAACCTAGGTCTAGACCAATCTAGGGACCCCAGCCCACAGGTGACACAGCTCTAGTGCTTGCTTGCCTTTGGGAAAATGGCCCAGGCACCAGCCTCTCTGAAGCATGTCCAGGGCCAGACATGGTGAGAAGAAAGGAACTTGAGCAGGACAAATTTGGAGCATTCCTCAAAGTGAGATCTCCTTCCCTCTTCTGTAACAGGCCCTCTGAGGGTTCAACCTTCTCAGGACCCTCCACCCTTAGTTAGGTCTGGCTAAGGTCTAGGAAAAAAACACAAGGAGGCAGCTGTGTTTTACATTAGAATTTCTCCCAATGGTGTGAGGACAAGAATTATCTAGTCAACAGAAATCCTTAGTGACCCTTTAAGGAATCTTGATGATCCCAACTACTCAGAAAGCTGAAGCAGAACATTGAGTTCAAGACTAGCCTGGGCTACATAGAGAGACCCTACTTCAAAAAGCAAAAACAAGTCAATTTTTAAGAAGGAAGAAAACAAAGGGCTAGAATGGTTCTCCTGGACAACCTATGGCTCACTCTCTGAAAAATTTTGGCTCTCAACTATCCCCCTCCCCCTCACAGCAGCCACATGAAGTTATTTCCTTAGTGCTTCAGAGAACCTTTTCTCAGCACCCATAATGCACAGGGAGTCATCTGTTTCCATGGTGGTCACTTGGGGGAAGACTTGGACTGCTTCAATTCTGGATCTACCCACCACTCCTGAGAGGAACAGAAGTGCCCTCTGTGCACAGTGCTGACTTCAATGGGCTGGAACCTCCACAGTGCCTCATACCCAAACCTTTCCAGTACCCACAGTGTCCTCCCCAGCACAGATCATCTGACCTGAGCACTGAGCATAACAATAAGGGAAATAGAGACCCACCAATCCCAGCCCCAAGCTGAGGAGGAGGAGGAGGAGGAGGGGGGGGAGGAGGAGGAGGAGGGGGAGGGGGAAAGGTCAATGTCTTTCTAAACCTCCCAGGAAAAGTGCAAGACAACCTGAGCTTTCTAACAGCTAACCCTGACACCAGGGGACCTATGATCATTTGACTCTCATCCAGAGGGCACATTGGAAGACTTTTTCAGGTATGAGAAAACCTGTCCTGAGTGAGGTAGCTAATGTGAAAGCTGGGGCCAGGCTGCAGACAGGTGGCTCTCTGAAAATTGCCAGTACTGTGTCCACTTCTCCCCCTACATTTTGGAAAGTTCAGGTACAGGTATATGAAGAAAAAGTAAGGCAAAGGGTTGGGCCCATGCTTGGGCTAGAATACCCAAGAAAGAGGCCTGGGGAAGGCAAGTGTCAGAGAGGCTACCTCGGTGGAAAGGTCTCATGCACTGGTGGGCAATAGCAATAGGTAGGTCTCAGCACACAGAGCTAGCTCCACTGCCCACTTGCTAGCTTTCTGCCCAGAGGTAGTTTTGGCCTCTGCACATAATAGTATGCCAGATTATTCCTCCCGTAGCTGAAGAAAGCATATGGACAAGGCCACTGGGCCACACTAGAGTGCCTAGTAACCCTGGAGACTCTGGCCAGTTTCCAGAACTCCCAAAAGCAATTTGCATAAATGCTGAACTGAATGTTAAGCAAAAGCTGCTGACATAAAGCTCTCAGCTCAGCTCTGATTGTTGTGACCTGGGCTGAGCATAGGCCCAAAGGGAAGGGGACAAACCTGGACAGTTCCTGAAACACCTGAGGCAGTATGTGATATATGCAGAGGCCAGACCTCACCCAGCAAAGCTCAAACTCTCTGGCACATGGGCATGGCTCCTACCTCCCAGATACAGACTCCCAGTCAGGTTGGAATGAAGCAGCTTGAGACTCCTTGAATCTGTGAGTTGTTAGCCCTCACATCAATGCAAAGGGAGGAGGGGGCAGGGCTCCTCTAATCTCCTTTCTTAAAAGCGAAGCAGAAGCCTACAGGTGCTAAGAAACAAACCTAAGCAAACAATAGGCCAGAAATGGGTAGGACATGTGCTTTGAAGGACCCTAAGTGTTTCCCTTTAAAAGTAACTGTAATACTAGCCTGATCCCACGAGGCCTGTGCTTGCTGGAAAGCAGACACCAGAGGGCTGGAGTATAATTCTGGGCTAGAACATCTATCTAGTGCATGCCCTAGGTTCCAGCATGGTAAAATGAAAAATAAGAGCAGATGCAAGAACAAATATAAAAATCAATGATGATTTACTTGGTTTATTCTTTGAAACAGGGTTTCCTATGTAATAACCCAGGCTGGCCTAAAACTCATCAATCATGGCCTCTTGATAGGATTATGTGTACCAACACAACTGGCTTTTTGTTTTTAAAGATTTATTTATGTCTTTATGTGTATGCTGTATGTGAGGGTGCCCCCAAAGCCAGAAAAGGGTGTTGGATCCCTGGAGCTGTGGGTACAGTTGCCTGACATGGGTGCTAGGACCCAAATTCAGGTCTTCTGAAAGAACTGCAAGGTAAGAGTTAAAATGTTTGATATCTGAGCCAAGTACACACCTATAATCCCAGCACTCAGGGAGGCAGAGGCAGGAGGATCTCTGTAATTTCAGGACCAGCCTGACCCTAAGTGGGGGAAGAGCCTTACCAGGCCACAGAGGAAGACAATGCAGCCACTCTTGATAAGACCTGATAGACCAGGATCAGATGGAAGGGGAGGAGGACCTCCCCTATCAGTGGACTGGGGGAGGGGCATGGGAGGAGAAGAGGGAGGGAGGGTGGGATTGGGAAGGAATGAGGGGGAGACTACAACTGGGATACAAAGTGAATAAACTAATAATAAAATAAATAAATTTAAAAAAAAAAAAGACCAGCCTGGTCTACAAAGTGAGTCCAGGACAGCCAAGGCTACACAGAGAAACCCTGTCTCAAACCCCACATAGACCACCCCCCAAAAAAAAGGAAAAAAAAAAAGTTTGATATCTGATCAGGCATGGTGACACATATCTTTAATCTCAGCACTCAAGAGGCAGAGGCAGAGGCAGAGGCAGGCAGATCTTCATAAGGGCTATCACAGAGAAACCCTGTCTCAAACAAAAGAGTTTGCTATCTGGAGCAGGGCAGGGAGGCACAGGCCTTTAATCCCAGCATTTTGGAAAACTGAGGTAGGTGGTCTCTGAATTCAAGGAGAGCCTGATTTACAAAGATAATGAATTCCAGGCTAGGCACTACAACAGGGAGACCCTGAGTCAAAGCATAAGTCAAAGCATAAAAGTTTGTTATCAGGCTGGAGAGATGACTCAGGGATGGAGAAGTTCTAAAGGACCTCATGCCCTCTTATGACTGCCTCAGGCACCAGGCACGCATACAGTCAGGCAAAAACACTTAAATGCAAAAAGCGCAAAGACACTTTTAAAAAAGGAAAAGAACCATGTCCATAAACCTTCAATACTTGCTGCTTGTATCAGAACTTGATGGGGGAGGGGAGTAAGAGCTGACTATGATGCATGCATCAAGTGGAGAAGACTAGTTGGGGTAGGGATTATCTACAGAAAGGGGAAAAAAAAAGTGGGTTGGGATTCTATCTGGGGCTAGGATAGTTTAAAAGGGACTGGGGCTCAGTTGGTAAAACGCTGGCTGCGCATGTGCACAAAAGGCCAAGTTTGACCCCTGTACTAAATAAAGGAAGCACAGTAGCCCACACCGGCAATCCCAACAGAAGTAGGGGAAGGATCAGGAAGGATCAGGCGAAGTGAAGCCTGAAAGCAAAAGGGGTGGCTCTAGGAAGTCAGGGTTCATTCTCTCCTGGTCTAAAGACCAGGAAGGTTTTGAGGAAACACTATCTGAAATGGTCTTCAAAGCCCTGGCAACCCCAGCAGAGCCTCGGTTCGGCGTGTGCACTGTAGATTGGGACCTTCTAACTGGACGTACCTTGGGTGGATTACTTCCTCCTTTATACTTCAGGTGCTCTAGGCTTACAGTGAACGAGCTGGCCTACTCCTCCGAAAATTCTGGGTGACCCAAGTCTCTCCGTAGCTTTGTATTCTCAACAGTTCTCCAACTCTTTTCTACCTTGGGCACGTGCTTGAGCGAACATCAGAGTAAACGATGCCCAACCTCTCAATTTACCAGACTGGAAACTAGAGCCTGGAGGGCTTGGCTGGCAGCTCAGACATGGGGAGCCAGTGAGTGCCAGGAGGCCTTGCCGCCACCGACTGGTCTGGATTCTGCTGGGCTGCTGCCCACAGGTAACAGCAGGGAGAGGAAGTAGTCCTCAACGTGGCTAGCGACGAAAGAAAGTCAGTCTTTTCATAGAGGGCTCCCAACTGACACTGCCGCTTCGCGACCTGATCGGCTCTGGGATCAAGTAATCTGTTTTAGTTTACTGTTTGACAAAACGTCGGCAGTAACAGAATCCGATTTATAAAGATCGCTCAATAAAGTTTAAAGAGTGCCCAGTATACAGGAAGAGCTCGATAAGTGCTCCTAACTGTGGCACTTCATCACGCCAGCACAGCCCACTCCAGCCCAAGTGGTAATTTTCCGGGATTGCTAAAAAGCCTGAGCGGGACAGAAACACGTGGGGAGTGCTAGGAGCGACGGTGACTAACTAATTCCTAACAGTTCGGGCCAGACAAGGTGCTCCTCACTCGCGGGGCACACGTGAGGTCCTCCGAGGCCCGGGTTCGGGCTTCACCGTGACCTTGGACCTCGTTCCTCACTGAGCCTCTGCTTTCTCATCTGGAAACGGCCGCGAGAGGCCCAAGAAGGGCCCAGGGCCGCCCTGTGGAAACCACCCGACAGCGTGTCCCTCCCGGGCCCGCGCCGGCCGGTCTCCATGGCAGCGCCCGACCCACCTTCCTGCCGGCAGTAGGACATGGTGTTTCCCGACGCTCGCAGCTCTCAGAGGCAGCGGACGCGGACGTAGCGGATACACCTTCACGCTGTGACCTCCCTCTCCTCTCCTCCTCTCCTCTCCGCAGGCCTGGCGAGCGGCACTGAGGCCCGCGCGGACCCGCCCCCTCCAGGCCTGCCCGCCGCACGCCTGATTCCGCACCTCCAAGGCACTAGCGCTTTTCCTCACCCGAACACTACATTGACCGACAGCCCCTGCGCCCCTTCAAAGAAGCTAATACTACGTTTCCCAGAAATCGTGCAGCGCACGCGCACTAGTGAGGTTGCAATTTTGCGGCAAAAATGTCCGACGGAGGACTACATTTCCCAGCAGACCGTAAGATGCGCAAGCGCAGACAATTTGCAGCCAAGGCGGGGCGGTAACTCCGGTCCTGAGACCCGCCAGGTCCTGGATTCTACACGGAGTCTTGCAGCTGGTTCTTTAGCAGGCAGGAGGTCACCAAATTCTGCGTTCCGGTCTTCAGCCCAGTTTCTAGTGGAGCAGAGCGAGACGGTGGTGGCGAACCAGGCCTACCATGGCCGCGAACGTGAGTGCTTCCTGGTCTCAGGGTCACACCATCCTCCCTCCCGCCTTTCCAAGTTGCGTCCTTCGGCTGCGCGACCCCAGTGGGTGCGGCGCCCCTGATCTCCCTGAGAGATCACTCACCCTCAGGCTGCGCGCGTTTGTGGGATACCCCCCCCCCCTTAGTCGAGTTCGATCGTGCACGCCTGTACCTTCCACCCATAGTTTCTTGTCTGGGACCCTGGGGATACGAAACTTGTGGGACTTGGGGAACAGAAGAACAAAGGGGAAAGTGTTCGTCGGAGGGCTGGTTAGTGAGGCGATCTTGCCTCACTGTCCAGCAAAGGCTGCTTTGGTCTCCGCGCCCTAGGGGGCGTGTACTCCTAGGCTGTAATGCTACTGTAGCAGGACAAGCCTGGCTGGATGACCCGGAGAGGGAGGCTTTTCTCTACTGTCCGGTTCCTTGTGCCGCTGATTTGGTTAGAGACCCTGGCTGAGGATAGTTCCCCCCCATGCCTGTGGCCTCTTCCTACTGCAGCTAGTCCTTGGGAACCTTCCTAGTGAATCCTAACATTCATTCAACAAACGGAGCAGCTCCACCGACTAGGGAACAGGGTGTGGGAGAAGCTGGTGATTCACCACTGCCTTTGGCGAAAGCGCCTCTGAAGCCAGCTCAAGGAGCACAGCCAGCTCCAGGCACACCCTCTCTCCCTCCTTGGTAGAGTGCCATTGCTGTCCTCTCTGGACCTGTTACACCCTCTTCCCAGGCCCCTCCTCTGTCCGGCAAACCCCTTCTTGGCCTTCTACACCTCCTGGAAGGCCAGAGTTTGTTTCACCCACTGTCGAAGCAATGTCTGCTTGGCAGTGTCCGGCCCTGGAAGGGGAGGAGAACCAGAAATTAGGAATGCTGCACTGTGGCCAGAGAAGGCAGCCACCAAGCCTGGCAAGAGCAGGTGGGCTCCTGCTGACCTCCATCATCAGCATCGTATTTTACAGTTCCCCAGCAGAAGACACCTGCTCTCAGGCAGCTTGGCATGCTACATCATCAGCCTGAGAAGGTGCTGATGCGGTCAGGCTTTGGAGTCAAGCCTAGAGGCAAATCCAAATTATTCTACTCTAACTTCTCTGGGTTCACTCTCTCGTGGGATCAGTTATGTTGAAATTTGAGGAAGGTTGTAGGGTCCAGATGCCTGGTACATGGGAGGTACTTAATCCATTGGGAAAAAAAAAAAATCACTCTTATAGGCTAGTATACACAGTCCTGGTAGGCAGAGACCAACTTGGATATGTTTGGGTCTGACTGTCACGCCAACATAGACACAATGAGATATCTTCAGTAGCCATGCCTTTGTCCTTCCATTGTTACTTTACTTTCCTGGGAAGACTTGAACAAACATTCATTCGTGTCAGACAGGATAACTGTAGACCAAAGGAACAATTCTACCAACTCTATCTTGGTGAGCCAAGGAGGTTATTGGGCTTACTTGTAGGAGCATGGGCATCACCTCACAGCAGCCTGGATAACCACCTCTGGAAAGCTGCGTAGATGGAGGTGTGCCACTCCCCTTCAGTTAGCTTTCTGCCTCCGGTACACTCTGGCAGCATTACATATGTCTGGGGATGGGACATAGGAGAAGGTGAGTGGCTGGAATCTCGGGTGACGATATAAAGACCCTCTTCCACTCTTCCAGGGAACATGCCTGGTCAAGTGAGGAGCTCATTTGGGTAATCAAAGCTATTCTGATTTCAAGATGGCAATGGCTGTGTCATGCCAGGGACAGAGTACCAGAGCATCCATACAGTAGCTGAGCCACCAGGCAGGGTAGGCAAGGAAATCTTAAGAGTGGAACAGAGGTACCTGAACTAAGCATAACAATTGTCCTGTCAGGTAGGTATTATCACCAGCAAGTGAGGAACCAGTCAGTACCAGAGAGGTGGAGCATGTTACCAGGATCACACAGCAACAGAGCTGGGGTTCCAACCCTGGTGTGCAAGTTTCTAGGCCCAGTGTGTTCCCGCCTATTGCTTCATTGCTTGTTGATTCTGAGCCCATTATGCTGGAAGTGGAATGTGTTACTGAGGATACAGAAGTGTGTATATACACAATCGTATACCTACACTCATATAGGTGCCATTTCCCATTTCACCCCTCCTCCAGCTGAAGGAACATCTTCCTGGCCTCCCTTCCTTCCAGGCCATAAGGGGAGCCAGCAGGAGCAGAGATCTCCTTTTCCTGCTTCCAGTTCTGCAGCTCTAATTACAGTTACATGATGAAGAATACAGTCTAGGGTAGAGGGGTCTACCTGAGTTGAACACCCATTCACTATTTATAAACTATTGATCTAGGCAGATCTCCCAAGCAGTGAGTCTCGATTTCCTCATCTGTGAAATGGGGTAGTAGTAGCCTCTTTCCCCTTGAGCCATGACAGGCCTGTAACAGACGAGTATGCCACTGTGGGCATCTTGCTGGCTGATGGTCACCTTCTTGTCTCCAGTGATTGTCTCCACTGAGGTTTAGGTGCTATATTCTGGGTATAGTGGAGAACAGCCAGGAGAAGTGGCATCAGCTATGTTCAAAGATGCCATCTCAAATCCATCCTCTGATCATGAGCAGGAATGGACCTGGCTCTCTGAAGTGCCTGCCAGGTGACCACTTTGTATCTCTGTGACTTTCATCCACACCCACAGCCTGGGTGGCAGCCCCAGTTTCAGTTATGGAGAAATCTGATAATGTTCCTATTAACTGTAACTCCCACAGGTGCCTATGAGGCCCTGGTATGGAGCCACCACCCCAGCCATTGGATTTTTTCCCCCACTTTACCCATGAGGAAATGGAGGGACCATAGCTAGTGGGTAGCAGAGCCAGGATTCAGGCTCAGCCTCTGCTCTTGGTGATGAAGCACTAGACATCCTTGAGACAGTAGCAAGCTGGTTGAAGCCTGCTCCACTGACCTGTGGCATGTGGCCTATGGGAACCTGCCTGGGCATGCCCATCAGCTCTGTCTCTAAACAGCCGTCCACAGCTAGAGCAGACAGGCTGCTGCTCCACACCATTGCTCCATAGCCCTCTACTGAGGGCACCCTTTCTATGCCCCCTTCTCCAAAAAGCCTGTCTTGATTTCCTAGCTGGAAAGTGCACCTAGCACAGAGCCCACCTTTCATTGGACACTCAGTGAAGCCTCCTGTTAGTTCTTAGATCCAAAAGGCCACCTACCACCCTCTCAGCACAGCACAGTCCTCAGGAAGCCCAACCATTACTCCTCCAATTTAAATAAAATTACATTTCTCACTGCTTTATAAATAGCTTGTTGGCATCTTAAACATTTGCTTAACATATGGTCCAGAAATTCTGGGGGGACAGTATGGCTAACTCCTAATGTCTATGAGGAAGAGAGGTTATGGGAAATTCCTTGGATATCAAAACCCTTTCTCGAAACTCATCAAACTATCAATTTTCCCCTCAGTATTCCAGCACCGGCAGCAGGAGAGAACATGTCAAAGTGACATCTGACCCCCAACCAGGCTTCCTAGAGCGGCTGAGTGAGACTTCAGGCGGGATGTTCGTGGGGCTTATGACCTTCTTACTCTCCTTCTACTTAATTTTCACCAATGAGGTAAGATCCAATGGCTGGGCTCGGAGACAAAGGACGTAGGTTTTACAGGAGGGAGAGGGGATACTGAGGTAATGAGACATCTCTCTGTTGTGACACACCTCAGTGTAAGCCAGAGGAGCAGTGAGTCAGTTCACACACCTGAAAACGTGCTTCAGGCATGGCTGCACCCAGGTTGTCATGCTGGGTTACTAGGAACCTCTGCCTCTTTATCGTGATACTTTTCCTGGGTAGCCCTTTCCCTGTGGGGGCAGATCTGGCCCCAGCATTTCCAGTCTCATATCCAAGCACCTTAGACATCTGAGAGAAAAGGGGGAGCCATATCTTTTTTCATCCGTTTAGCAAAAGTTACAGCCATCTCTCAGGTTCTTGGCTAGGTCTCGGTCTTTTGAACCAGTACGGGATTCAGCCCCACCTGGACTACATGGCCTAGGAGGGGAAGAGAGTAATCAAGGGATTCTAGAAAAGGTTCCCTGCCACCCTAGGTTCTCCCAGACATGTCTTTCAGCCCAAGGCCAGGGGTCTTTGGGTGAGCCAGCTGAAGTGTGTCAGCTAAGCTGAGAACACATCTGGTTGGTCAGGCCTGGCTCACATGATTTGAACAGTGGTTCAGACTAGCTTTTGTAAGCTACATGCATTGGGAACCAAGGGAGGGGAAGGCAAGTGGAGGCACAGGATTAGTATAGGCCAGGGAGGCACAGAGCTTTTCCTAGCTTCAGGCTGAAATTGTGGGGTGCACCTGAGAAAGCAGGAATCCTGGGATCTAGTCTTGAGCCTGCAGTTGCTAGACCTCAGCATCTCTGTTCACTGAGGTCCATCCCTCCCTGTGCCCACAGCCAGGTGTCAAGCAGCACCTGAGTTGCTGAAATCTTCTCTTCTACCCTCTGACAGGGCCGAGCACTGAAGACAGCCACCTTGCTTGCAGAGGGGCTGTCACTCGTGGTGTCCCCTGACACCATCCACAGCATAGCTCCAGAGAATGAAGGGAGGCTGGTGCACATCATCGGCGCCCTGCGGACTTCTAAGGTA